AAAAAGGACACAAAAAGGAAAAAAAAAAAAAAAGTCTTTATTGAGAATTATTAGAGTTAAAAATTTGTTAATAAAAGGAATTATTAGAGTTTTTGAGAAAAAAATTAATAGCTGTATGGAAAATAAATAAACATGAAAGTACTAGATAAATGAAAAAAAAAAAGAATTGAATAGTGTGAAAAAAATATTCAAGTTATTAAAAATGGAAGAAAACTTGATAAAAAGTTTTTTCGTGACAAATTTTTATCTTTGAATTTTAAAGGAAAATTTTATATTAACAATAATAAAATTTTCACGTTTGTATCATTGTATAACTTATTTCGAGTTTTGTTATTTATATTTGCTAATTCTAGAGAAGTGAATTTGAAATGTTAAACATTAATCGTAACCTTATAAGTAAAATATATGTTATTTAAAACTAAAATTAATAAGGATTTAAATTTTTAATAAAAATTGGGATTTTTATTAAAATAATTAAATGCCTCTTAAAAACAATAACTGCTCAATGAGGGAGACCATAAACATTTCAATGGTTTATAGAATTAAAAACAAATTTAAATTCATTTAAATGGTAGACGAAACTCTACATGCTCGTTGTTAATCCTTTTTTTCAATACTCTAGCAAAGTAATGAATAGGAAATTAATAAAACCTTAATTACATTTATTTTACTTATATTATGATTTATATTTAACAATTCAAAGTTATTACTCTCAAATTAACAAGCATAAAAAATTGATAAAATTCAAGTTATATTACGTAAGTATTACAAAACACAAAAATTATATTATAGTTAATATAAAATTTTCTTATATTAATTTAAATAAAAATACACCACAATAATCTTTCTTATTCAATAACTTTTTCTTCTATTTTTCAACAACTAAATTCCTTTTAAAAAAAGAAAAAATTTATTTCTTTATGTATTTAAATTACAAAAATAAAAAAAACCATTAACTAATTTTTTTCTTTTTTTTTTTTACTTAGCAATTTCATGTTGGTTAATAAAATGTATTATTAACCTTCTTGAGAATCAACGGTAATACTTGTGTGCAAAATATTTAATTATACATGCAAATTCTAGATGCAAAAAAAAAAAAAATTAATTGTTAATTTCATTGCTTTCTTTTTCTAATTTTTAAATGCAAAAAAAAAAATATATTTATTTTTTTTTTGAAATGATTAATTTTTCAGTTGAAACATTAATTTATTTATTTCTTATTCCATAACTTTGCCATAGTATTGAGCAAACATATTAATAAAGTGATTTATTAACTAAGTGTTCGGTGACTTTACTAGAGTACTTAAAAAACAAATTAATAAAGAACATGTAGAGTTACCTCTACGGTTTTAATGTATTTATACATATTTTTAAATTCTTTGAACGAGTGATCCTTAATTATGTAATCTACTTCATTTAGCATTCTTTAATTTCAATAGGCATTTATTTACTTTAATAAAAATCCTTATTTTTATTAAAAATTTAAATCCTTATTGAATATTGATTATTAATTAAATGTAAATTATTTGTTTCTTTGTTATGAGTTATGTTCAGCAATTTATATATATTGCTGTTGAATTAACAAACATAAACAATTAGTAAAAATGCAAATTAATTATATTAATATTAATTATGTGCAAATTTTATTGTCATATGTATAAAATTTTCTCTCACATATTAAAAATGTAAATGCTATTCAAATTAAGCTCTTTTATATGAAAATATCTTTTATCTTTTTAAGATCTCATTTTCATTCGTAGCATATCATACTCCCGGTTTTTATTTTACCATTTTTCCTTCTTTTATTAATTATTTTTGAAAAAAAAATATATATTTTTTTTATGTATTTCCAATTTATTAAAAGAAAAATAAAAAAAAAAATTATTGAATTATTTTTTTTTTTTTTTTCCTGTTCGTGACCAACTACGTATTCTTCATTTAGCTAGTCCTTTTTATTATCATAGAGGTTAATAAAGCCTTTTCTTAACAAATATTCAAGTATTTAAATTTTATATGAAATATATTGTTCATTTTACTTTATTTAACATAATTATATATAAATAATTTATAATCTATAGAAAACAGTGGACCAAAAATCTAATAACGAACTTTGTGAAACTTAATTAATTTGATAGTTTAATTAACATTATTACTTAAATAGCGAATTACTAAAACAAAATCCTAATAAAATGTTAAGAAGTATTAAGCAGGACATTGTTAACCTGTCCTATGCACCATTTCATAAAACTGATAGTTAGATAATCCTCCTACATGATAAAATAAAATCCAATTTATTTTTTAAATGGATAAGATTCCCTTAAGATACAAGCAAAAAGACAAATGCATGCACATTATAGAATTTTTAATTATTTAGATAATAAATAGGTAATAAGGTATTGGTTAATAAAAGGCTTTATTAACCTTTTTGGAAATAGAAAGGACTAGTTATATGAAGAATACGTAGTTGGTCATTCACATGCAAATAACAAAAAAAAAAAAAAAAAAAAAGAAAAAAAGAATGATAAATTTTTTTTTGTTTTTATTTTTATTAATAAGAGGACATAAAAAAAAAAATATATATTTTTTTTTAAGAAAAAAAAAGAATGTTCAGAAAAAAATGGGTTAAAAAAATCACTTAAAAAAAGACTTGTTACCAATAAGAATGAGATATTAAAAATAAAAAAGATATTTACATAAATATATTATGTTTTAATTTTTTTTATAAGTTTTTTGATATTAATTTTTTTTGTAAGAGAAAATTTTATATATAGAAATTAAAAATTTTTACGTAATTAATATACTTATAATTAATTTTGTATTTTTACTAATTGATTATATATTGTTAATTCAACAGTAACATATTTAAATTGCTGGAACTAAATAATAATAAAGAAATAAGTAATATACATTCAATTAATAATCATTATTCAATGAGGATATAAATTTTTAATAAAAACAAAGATTTTTATTATATAAATACTTATTGAAATTAAATAATGTTGAATAAAGTAGATTACATAATTAAGGATCACTTGTTCAAAGCATTTAAAAATATGTATAAATACATCAAAACCGTTGAGGCAGCTCTACATGCTCTTTATTTATTTTTTTTGTTAAGTCCTCTAACAAAGTCACCGAACACCCATTTAATAAACCAATAATTCAATTATTATATTATATTAATTAATGAAAATGAATAATTTGTATTATATGTTAATTAATAAAAAATATAATAATAAAATTTTCTCTATGTGTTCTTTATTATTTTGTTATTTCAGTATTACAAAATCATTGAACGAGTAATTAATAAATCAAGTAATAAATAGAAAAATTAATAAAGAAAATGTAGAACTTTCTCTAATAATTTAATGAATTTAAATATAATTTCGATGTTATAAACCTGTAAACTGTAAATTATATAGATCACTAAGAATTTATTTCCTTTAATAAAAATCTTATGTTTTTATTAAGAACAGAAATTTTCATTAAATATTAATTTCTAAGTGCTAAATATTCATTTATAACTTTTTATAAATAATTTTCATTTACTCAAGTTCTCTTTTTCTTAAAAGAGCAAAAATATATAAATTATATTAATATCACTAACAGCGAAAATTTTATTCTCAAAAATGTAAAATATTCTCATAAAAATATTTCTTTCTAAAAATTTTTTCTCTCTTAATAATTTTATTTTTTTTCTTTTAAGAAAATAAAATATAATTCTATAAAAAAATGCAAAGCTAAATATTGATTTTTTTTAACTAGAACTTGTGCATGGCTTATTAAGTATTTTCTTTTCATGTATTAATTTTTATTTTAATAAAGATTAACAAAGTCTATTTTTATCCAATTTTTTAGTTTTTAGTTTTTTATTTATTGTTTTCATTTTATTTTTTTCTTGTTCTTTATATTGACATAAAAATTTTTCATAATATAAATGAAGATTTATCGAAATTCTATCAATTAATTTTTTTCTTTTTCCATTTGTAATACTCTACTAATGAATGTCTAAAATTCTTCTAAACGCCTTTCTTCTGAAATATTATTTCGATAAGCATTCAATATTTTATTTCTACATATATATCTTATTTCATTTTCTTCATTTAATAAAACATTATCTACAATGTTTGTTTTAATATTAGCGTTATAACATTCAATATACATATACATTAAATGAACCAATTCATGAAGTAAAAACTCCTTTTCACCAGATGGATAATGTTCTACACGTTTTTTAAAATAAGCTGATTTTTTATCTGATATATCACCCTCTGCTAACATTCTTTCGTGTTTTAACCCAATTTTTGCTTGTAATGTATCTCTATTAATCAAAGACTTACTGGAATCATACTATGGGATTAAATAAAAATGTTTAAAATTTTTTTTCAATTATTATAGTAATAAATTAAGTAAAATTTTTAAAATGATTAGAAATAAAATATATTCATATGTGTTTTTTTTATATGAAGTTTATCTTACGTTGTAAAGACAATGGAATATCCAAATTAAAAGAAGAAATGTAAAAATTTTTAAATATAAAGTAAATGTTTTCATTTTAATACAATTATAGTGTAATATTAAAGTTAGAGATGTTAATCCAGTTGCAAAATTGCTTCTATCTTTACTAATAATAAGTTAGAGATAAGTAATATTGCTTTAGGTATTATTACGACCTTTGTAAATTTTATAAGTTTTTAAGGTAAAAAATTATTTGTTTATATGAAATGTAATTCTTAATTTTTCATAATTGTACATAATATTACATTTACTTTATGCAAATTTAATACTATTAATTTTTCAAAAAATGAAATAAAT